CCCCCCCCCCAGCTCTACCTCTCAGTAATTGAATTAGCTCGGTTTTAGGCGGGGGGAGGGGTTTGGCTTTGTTCGAGCGACGCCCATTCAAATAATTTCAAACCAATGGGACTATCCCCCGCTCCTCCGTAACCAAACCCACTCGCTCAGTCGGCGTTTGGAGTCTGCCTGCTTGTTGCCCCGCACCTTCCTGCGCGTCCCGGCGTTTTAACTCCCCCCCCCAAACACCCCCCCTAAAAAGACGCAAGAGAAGAAGAAGATCGCACGGTGCACACGCACATGGAAGAGCGCGAGGTTTTTTTCATTCCTGCGCGTCGCACGATGGGTCATATATGAGGAGGACACTTCGGGATGTGGACATACACAAGTGTCTCCGCGGAGAGAAGCGCATGAGAGAAACGCAACGCCGTGTCCAGTCTCCTCCGACTCCGAGAAAGGACTCCTCCCCACCTCGGCCGTGACACCTCCGGTAAACCGCCGTGAAAAGGATAAGTCTGTTTTTCTGCTCTCACGCTGGAGACCGAGTCTTACGCCGCCATTCACACGCCAGTGACTGATTGTACGGCTTTAAAAAGTTGCCTGGAGAACATGGACATCTGACGTGCGCCACACGGCGTCATCGGACACATAGGGCCCCTCTCTCTCTCTCTTGTCTCCATCACTGGCTCATCCCCTGCGCTTTGGCTTTGGAGTAAGAAGAAGTGTTGAGCAGTTGTCATTTGCCCTGACACGGGCTGCATCCAGGAGCTTTACCTGCAGAAACACTGGGGACGTTTTCACACCACAAGAGACGCTGCCTGTTGTGCCGATGCGCATTTGCTGAACTCTGTGTTTGTGCACATTCTGTCAGCCCACCACGGATTTGTCAGAGCTGACATCCCCGCATGAAATAAAGCCAATGAATCATCTGGACCCTCGCCCTGCATCAGAGTGAACAAACGCAGTGACGCGTTGGTTTTTTTTTTGTAGCGTTTCCCTCCTCAACCCGAACAAGTGTCATATCCAGTCAGCCCAGTGAATGGTCACAATTTTTCCTTTTTCCTTTTTGCGTTTTCCCTGAGCCGTGCGCTGTTTTTATCTGTGCGCGCACTCAACCCAAACTGCGCCAGAAAACAACACACGGCCACATGTGAACGAGACCCGTCACCTGTCCCGGCTGAAGCGCTCGACACAAGTCGACTGACTGACCGACCCAACACTGAAGAGGAATACGTGTCGAAGTTTCGCTGTAGTGATGCTGCAAGTGGAAATGGTCCTCTTTGTCTGCCTGGTGCTGTTGATGTGTGTTTTCAGCCAGGAGCCCAGCTCCAAAGTGGTGGCAGACCGCTACGCCGTCTTCTGGAACCGGACCAACACCAAGTAAGTGGCCTCGCACACCGGGCAGCTTCCCCGCGGAGAGTCGGCGATGTGTCCGTCTCCTCCGCGGGTCGCATGGATCACGGGGTTCGCAGGTTTTCGCTGTGGAGCACATCGGTGTTTATTCTCCGCAGTGAGGGCATAATGCCAGTAGCTGTAGGTAGAGCCTGTAGCCGGGAACAGGAGTGTAAAGGGAGACTTTGTCTTCTTTTTTTAAAATACGTGGCTGCTCATATAGCGCGTCACCCGAGGGAACTATAGATTAGAACCGTGCGTAATGAGGCCTGATCATGTGTTGATCTGATCTGTGTCAATATTCCACATGTGAGGAAATTCTGCATCCCAGCGTTAATGACTCCAGGTACAGAGCTGTAAAAGGCTGTAAAACCCGAAGCCTTATCTTGTGTTGTTTCTCTGCGCGGTGTCTGGATATGTACACAACCCCACTGGACCCATTAACACCAGAGTCTAACTAGTCTCAACAGGGCCGAACAGCAAACCGGTCCACATCAGCACAAATCCACAAAGTCCATTTACTTTCTAAAAGTGGCCCTTCACCGCCTCACTCCAGTCTGCGTAAAGGCTCAGTGCATTTATTTGAAAAACTTCAGTTGTAGGCGAACGGGCCAAACGTCTAGACCGGTGTAGTGAGCTTTTATACGTGGGTCTGTGCTTGTTGTGTGGATCCATCACTAGAAAGCAGTGTAAATATTGCCATCATGAGAATAATGTACCAGTCAATATTAAAGAGCTGCTTCACGAAATTCAGTACAGTTTCCCTAATGCAATTTACTGGGCTCATACGGCGGTCTCAGCATTTCTAAAAGTATCTGAAGAAGAGATTCATGCATATTACAGAGGCAGGAAATTAGCCTCCATAAAATGAAAAACTCTTATAAGCTCAAGTGGAATATTAAAATGATTTTAGGTTAGAATTTGTTCGTGTTTATGACCCTTAAAGGAGATAGAGTTGATTATCTGTTAACATTTAATCCTAAACATAGTCATAGGACTAGACTTTTTAATCAAGAGACGTTTTCTTAAGAACTCAAGCAAATTGTAATTAATTTTGGATGAATTCAGATATTTTCCAGCTAGTGCAATACATTAGGTTATTTTAAACTGTGCAGCATTTTAAAATACAAAGTAATGCATCTGAATATGTGACATTTAAAGCACATATTTGCAAAGTAAAAGAATCCAGTGACATTTGGTCGAATAATAGGCCCGGATTTATTTGCTAAAATAAAAACCTAAAGAATGCAAATAAATGCTGGAAAATAAAACCCAGTGCAGTGATTGTATAAAACTGAAGGAGGGTGTCGTTAAAGTAAGAGGAGTGGTGGCTGCGCTGTGTGGAAACTGGTGACTAACCCTTTAAAAAGTTGTGAAAACCTTCACTCGGTTGAACACAGTTTCCCTACAAAGAGTTTCCCTCAATAAACAAGTTTCCTTTATAACTTTTATTGCACTTAAAAAAAACCTTATATATATATATATATATATATATATATATATATATATATATATATAGCTTTTTTCAAATGGTGTAAATATTTCCAAAGGTGTAGGACTTCAAATTGTTGTTTTCACTCTATTTTTTATATTGAATCAACATGAGGAGACTGAGCAAAGTAGTGACTTGAAGATTTCATGTACCCTTGACTCCGGGGGGGTCACGCTAGAGGACTTCAGCAGAATTAAAATTCAAGTTCCTCAGATGTGCTCTAAACTCCTCTGTGCTCGGACAGCCTCGAGTCGCTCAGCGTTCAGTGTGCATGTTTGTCGACACAGCATTTCCCACTGAGAGTCCCTCGCGGAGTCGAGACTGTATACGGCCTTGTCCCGGGCTTATTAACTCTAAACACTGCTGCTGGAGTTTACAGAGATCTTTCACCCTCAAAACTGCCAACGACACTTAGTATTTGTTGAATAAAACCCCTCAGCTTACACTCTCAAACTGTGCACAAAGCCATTAATAGCACACGCCAAATTTGTTGTACAACTATTTATATTCAGCTTGAAGTTTGGGAAAACATGATTTATTGCTTGAAGCGATTAGTGGTCAGGGGTACAAACGGAGGGCCGAATGTGAGCGCTCTCCTGAAGTCAGGGCCGGTCTCGCAGGGGTGCAGAGATCTTTGGCGTGATACACCATAGACCATGACTGTTGTGGTCTAGGTCTCTGCTCTGACTCTACCCTGGCTGTTTATTTATGGAGCGCTTTCTTCAATGGAGGCAAACACAATTTTGAGTTAAATCTTGATTTCTCCTCTTGATAGACCTGCTTCAATTAGAGTGTACGTTTTTTTGGGAGGGGGGCAAAAAAAATTGGACTTGACTTGGTGCTCAGTTAACTTGATCTCTTACAGATGTGTGTACAAGTTTTCCTCAGTAAAGAAAAAAAGAGTAAATTGAAGTAAATCTTAATCTCAGATCTGACACATTAACACTGTGAGACAGAGAGGGAGAGAAATCAAGAAGTTTGTGACCCACGAGTCTGCGTTCACTGTTTCACACTCCGTGTGTCCCCGGTAAAATCGGAGAAATAGATAGCTTCCCGGGCCTCATCTGTTTCTGACGCTCTGACTTGCCTGAGGAAAGGAAACAGGTTTTCACAGAGGCTGTAATGCGGCTAACACCAGTCACTCCGTTCTACTTACTCTAAATAGAGTTTGTTTGACTCTCACCCCTGCAGTGCTGTGGGAAGGCAGCCAGAAAGGTATAACAGCGGAGAGGAGACCGGGAGAGCGAGAGAAGGCAAACGTGTCGTATCGATGACTCAGTTGATAAATATTGAGTCCCTTTCTTCATGCATTACTGTAGAAAGGAGGTGCGACGCTGTAACGTAACTTGCCTGCGTCTGCCTTTGATCGAGGCAAGAGTCAGCGAGAGTGTGACTGTTCCAACTATTTAAACTGTTAACGCCCCAAACTGAGACAAATGTCCGGTTATGAGTAATACATTTAAACCAATAATGTAATCTGTTTTAATTGTGCCCAAGTGGGATATTTTTCACATCAGATGAAATTGAACCAGATGAATTTCATCACATGAAATTCACAGACAGAAATGAAAGGTTGTAGATTGAAATATAAAAACTCATCTAAAAAACAGTTTTACTAAAAAATGCCACATCTATTTCACTTTTTAGTGGATATCTACAAATAAAAAGTTTTAAAAGCTTCAAATTATTCTTTTTTTTTTGAAAAGGGGACTATTTAATAGTTTCATCACACGTTGCTCTGTTTTATGAGAAATAATGTGGAGAAAGTGTGAAAACGTTGTAGGCAAAAATAAATGACTCCAGAGGTCACTTCTGACGAAACCCAGATTGGCGTAGAGACTTTTGTAACTTTGATTATCAGAAATATCAGATGGTAGAAATGTTTTTGGTTGTTAATCTCTATTTGTTTTTCCAATGGTCAGAAATAACAAGCAACCCGGACATTAGCGTGGAATTTTATCACTGAAAAGTATCGCAGCATGCGTGAGCTGTGCCACAGTTGTTTCTCCTGAGTGTCGGTGTTGTTGCTGATGTGGGTAAGGGGACTGGAGGGGATTTCCTTGCTGTTTATTCTGACCTTGTTAAGCCCTTGTGTTTCTCAACAGTCCAGAAACGTCTTTATTATTCAGAGTAACACTTTTATCCGCTACTTTGTTTACTTATCTCTTTAAGCCATCAACACTTTCTCCTTTTCTGCATCTGGTTACAGATTTTCTTGGCGCTTTTTTCCATCAACAATGATATTTTTAGGGTGAGTTGGGAGAGAAATCTTGGATTTGAATCTGTCCTCAGAGAGTTCCTTCAACTTGAAATAAGTTGAGATACAGAGGGACGTCTCTCTCAGTGGACTCTGCTATCGCACCCACTCTCTTGCTTGTGAATATTTATTCTACTGAGGAGACAGACGGTGGCTCTGATGATGTCTCGGCTGTAATGCAGAGGAGACGGCCCTGCCCTTTCTTCTTCCCTGTATCCCTCCTCTCAGCGCACTCTCTCTCTCTCTCCCTCTCTCCCTCTCTCCCTCTCTCCCTCCCTCCCTTCTTCTTCTTTATCTCTTCTTCCCTCTGTGTGTTTCTTCTCGCTGGGCTCAGAAAACAATTAGATATTTCGGGAGTCCCTCCACAGTTGATTGTGAAAAAAGACACGCAGAGGTCAGACGCACTCTGAGAGCAGCTCGGGGAGGAGGTCACACACACACACAACAAACACACACACACACACACACACACACACACACACACACACGACGAGGGATAAACGAAGCAGAAAGTTGGCCCGTGAATGACAAACTCGTAACTGGAACTCTCCTTGAAGTGGAAGTTGTTATTAACATAAACAGTTTGGCTTGGTTTGTGATCATGGTAATTGCTCAAGGTGATATGTATTTTGCTGCATAATTTGTAGTGCGACAAACAGCCTGGGAAGCATTTTTCTGTCACGCTGCGGTTGTGGGTACTTTTCACAGTTCTCCTTACAATGCACTGTAACTGGAGGCCTGCATGAAGTAGTTGTGTCGCTGGTATCAATCTTTCTTTTGTTGCAGTCATGTCTTTGTCTGTGCAGGTTTTTGTGTTTGAGCATGCATACATATGTGTGTGTGTACCCATGGGCATGAAAAGTACCAAATGAGCCATGAGGTCATATAGCGCCTGTTTCCTCTCCTTCAGACTCATATACCAGAATAATTACATCTTTCTCCTTTGGACGTCTCATTATCTGTCACAGACCAGTGGAACGAGAATAAACGTCTTGTCAATCTGTGCTTTTATGTGTGTGTGTGTGTGTTTGTGGGTATGTGTGTGTTGAGGCACGTACCCATGGAGGTGGAGTTATGTACAACAATCTGACTTTAACAGATGTCAAAAATCATACTACTACAATATTATGTTTTATTTTATAATTAAAATTCCACAAACCTGTAATTTTAAAGATTAACTGTACATTTGATCGCTAAAGTGAATAGTTTTGCCCCCACGCTAGTCAGTTTTTTCTACTC